GCACTTCCTTCATCTATTATTAATATTCTTTCTGATCTCTTGACTGATCACCACAATCAAGTAATTACCAATCTTGGTCTTACTTCCTTATACCCTGTTCACAATGGTATTGACCAAGATAAAACCATTACTTCTTTATTATGGTGTATATACTATAACCCACTTATTTCATATATACATAGATGTATAAGCAAGCGTCTGATGACTTTTGTTCCACTCCTGACGATTTTATAAATAATTTACTAAAAGAAAATCAAATTATTGGATTAATCTCTCTTGGTTTACTTTATACTAATGGAAAGGGTATTATGGTAGATAAACAAACGGCATTTCAATTATTTTTAAAATCATCCGTCAAAGGTTCTAGTCTAGGAAAATGCTATGTAGGTGATTGTTATTATAACGGTAATGGTGTTATAAAAAATCGAACTCAAGCATTTAATTGGTACTTAAAATCTGCAAAAGTTGGAAATGCAAGAGCACAAAGCTGCGTTGGTCATTGTTATAGTAATGGTAAAGGTACTTCTAAGGATGAACACAAGGCTTTAAAATGGTATATGCTATCGGCTGAACAAGGTAATTACCTTGGATATAACAATTTTGGTTATTGTTATGAATATGGTATAGGAACTTCCGTTGACATGGAGAAAGCCTTTAAATGCTACATGAAATCTGCAAAAGGCGGAAATAGTTTAGGTCAAAATAATCTTGGTGATTGTTATCAATATGGCGTGGGAACTTCAATAGATGTAAAGTTAGCTTTCGAATGGTATTTAAAATCTGCTGAAGGAGGTTATAGTTTAGGACAAAATAATCTTGGTAATTGTTATCGATATGGCATTGGCACAAATATTGACAAAGAGCTGGCTTTTGAGTGGTATATGAAGTCTTCTGAAGGAGGAGATAGATTAGGACACCGCAATCTTGAATATTGCTATAATTATGGAACAGGAACCTACGCAGACACAAAGAAAGCATCGGAATGGTTTATGAAATCCGCCAATAGAGAAAATATTACAGGCGATAGTGTTGAGATTTGATGAGAAATTGCGGGCAATATTTTGAATTAAATTTCATCGGGTCATTACTTTATTCTAATCTATACGATTTAGTGGTCGAATGTAAAATAAATAAATTACAAAATAACCGTTTAAGAATAAATAACGCACTGCTGAGTCACGTATATAATGGTTTAAATGGCTATAAAGAACTTTCAATGTGTAACAATGTAGACTTTATATAGTTTTAATGAATCTTTTCATAATGAACATTGGGTATAATAACCTATATATATATTCCAAGATTTTATGCTACTACGATATAGTAAATAAAATAGACTTTTTTTAAAAAATCATATTTGTTTAAGAACATACTATATTTGTCTTTTATTGTTTCGAGTTGATTTTATAATTATCACATGTGTTAGGGTTAGGGCTTATTTTAATGTTAGAGTTAAAGGTTTTAACAGTAAAATCGTTCAAGAAAAACCTTTTGATAATGCGCAGAAGGTGGTTTCCTATGCAGATTTTGAGTTATAAGCGATTTTTGACAAAACGAACGTTTGTTTTGAATTTTCTGCGTTACATTAAATCGAGATTCATTATTGGCTTATTTCGTCAATCATCACGTGATGGTAAAAATTACATATTGGCGATCCTGGGGTGCAAAACCTACATTTTTGATACTCCTGCACCTACTTTTTAAATTTATATACTTTTTTACTAACTTTTACTATAATAACGTGCAATCCTATTGGTTAATTTTAGGATATGTTTAGGTGTATCAAAAAAGTAGGCGCAGGAGTATCAAAAATGTAGGTTTTGCTCCTGGGGTAGTTCTACCACACAGCAAACACGTGATCTAATTCCTAATTCTGCCATATTCTAGCTAGGGTGCCCAGGATTATGCGATGCGACGAGGTAAATTATGCGATTACCTATTATGCTATATGTATTTATTATACCACCAGCATAGCGGGCTTTATTATGATTGCTGATTTTTTGAAGATCATCTCATCATAATAAAGTCTTATTAAAGTAACGATTTGCTATCACAAGAGTGCACAAAAATGAAT